TTGTTATGTCATGGGCTAACCAGGATTACATGCTTGAGGAAATAATGTGGTCACTTTAGATAAAGTAATAACCCAGATTACCATGTACAAAGTTAACTTGATTCTGATCCAAAACATATTGTATGTCATACAAACAGCACTGTTATGGCTCACTATAATTGTTCCTAATTTGAGCATGTACGGGTGCCTCATTTTGCACAGTGCTCCGGTGCTGTAGGTTGGGAGGTGTTGAATTTATATGTTGTGACTAGTAATAAAGTGTGAAGAATGAAGTGCACTTGTATTAGTGGGGTGGTGTTTGTATGACTAGCTGCGGTGTGATAGGGCAGGAGGCAGAGCTGACGTGCAGGTACAGCAGAGTTGGGGCAGAGAGGAAGGGTCTCTCTCTTTCTCCGCAACTAACCAGTGTGCCTGTCTGTCTGTCTGTAGTAGCTCACTCTAATCAGGTGGCTAAGAATGTGAGGAATGCCACGCTCACTCTGAAATGAGAGGGGCTGGGGCGAGAAACATCAACCGGGCCCGCCGGGCCGCTCTGCTCACCTACTAATTACTATGTGCTGAGCATGAACAAAAACACTGGAGCATACTGCTGCTCACTGCCACACAAAGCACTACCTGTCACACTATTAGATAGGGAGAAAAACAGAGAGATGATTTGATAAGTCACTACCGACCTGTGAATTTGACAGACATGCTAATGAGCAAGACAGCCCTAATTAGGAACACTGTTTACCTCAAGGGCACTGTCATCCATAAAGCTACTGTAGTTATTTGTCTACAATATCACTGTCCTGTTGAGCACCTATCCACTGAGTGTTAACACAGAGATGTTCAGTATCCTGTGGTGTCCTCTGTGGTGTCCGACAGTATATGAAGCTACTCAACACCAGTTAATCATACACATCACAAGTGGCCATGCAGTCAATGACTGCTCATTTAAACAGAAATAATGTCACGACAATCACAAGGCCAGTCAGTCTGCTGTCTGTGTATAACTATGGAGGAGGAGAGAGCATGGGGCCTGCTGTTGTTGCCACATGTGCTAGGTAACGGTGGACGGGTTAATAACAGGGTGATTGTCTTGGGGCAGATGGGAATTTCTCTGGTCCCTAGGAGCCCGAGTCTGGCATGTGGTGTTATCTGAATACACACACTCCCTCACTGCAAGCTCAGGCATTTTCCTCCAGCTTTGAGGTGGTGGGAAGCCTGGCTGGGAGACTCCTGGCTAACCACGTAGTATTATGGGGCTCCTCTGCAGCCATGGAGTGGCCGGCGCATAACTTCCCTCAGACAGACAGCTCATGTTTCAGAGAGGGAAGCCACAGCAGCACCAAAGCAGTCCCAGGCCATTAACAGAGGGGAGACAGTGACTGCTGTATTAGACCTGATTTGTCATTACCAAGTGTTGTTGTCCTCTGTGTCCCTCTGAGGAATTTTGTTTGTTTACATCCCACAAAGAGCTCAGCAGATGCTCTTAATAAGGACTTGTAGCCTATGTTTAGATAATGTAGCTAAATCCAACCTTTACCATCTTCTCTTTGTCAATCAGCATTTGCTATGATGATGTCATATGGCTTTGTGGGAAGGGATTAACTCCATGAAAGAGACCCACATACTGTATCGAAGGAGAGTTTCACAGTAAGACTGAAAACAAAACCTAACTATGGCTTCTTTTGAACTTTTACTGGTGGGCAAAAACAGACGCTTATATTAATGAGAACAACATATGGAAATTTAGTAACAATATATCGTTGCTGTCTAATGAAAACCTAAAAATCTCCAAAACAGAAAATTGTCTGGGAATGTAACAAATTTGCATATTTTTCCTTTAAGAACATACAATTATGAATCTTCAGCAGCTATTTTGAACACATTTTCTTGGTCCTAGAGACATGAAATATTTAGAGTACATTGAGGAGAGTTACTGCTTTTAATAAATGTAACAAATTAAAATTGGCAAAAATGGAGTTACGAGGTTTTCATCGGACAGCGACGATATAGAGCTTTGAATGTGTTAAAGACACATTTAAAGCTCAAAACAGTTAACAGTTTTAAGTAAGTTAGTATATGGCTGTCGCTCCCACTCCATGTCTTTATCGCTTTCATACAGTATCTTCTACAATCATTTTCATCATACAAGCCAGAGATCTCCAAGGGTCTTGATCTCGGACAGTTCTACATTTTTACTCTCCGTCTATTCAACCTAATGTGCTGGCCCCATGCCCAGAATAGCAAGGCAAAAACAAAAGTGTTCTCCCCTGGTTCTGAAGGCTGTCTGGACATTATGCACGTAGTTCTCCTTTGGGTCAGACCTCTAGCAGTAACTATTGAGCAGTTAATGTAGTTACTCTAATACTAAATAGAGTCAACAGAACCAGGCCAGCAGCCATGCGCCTGCCCTGCACCAAGCCTCCCACTCTAGAGGTCTGAGATCAGAAAGGCTTGTCCTGACTCTGGGGATGTGTTGCACAGGGCTCCTCTGTAATCCAATCTGCAGCAGCTTTCAATTAAGGAACCCAAGGGGTACAGGCCCTGTTATCCTTACACAGCGGTCACATTCTCCTTTGCACTCAGTGGCATCCCCTCCGCTTCTAATAACACCACAGCCCCTTCAACTGCTGCCTGGCTATTTTTCTAATAAAAAGGCACTTTGAAATCTGGAACAAACAGTCAAAGATCCTCTTTTTCATGAACTCCTGTGAAAAGCTAATGGTTGTATCTTAAAAGTTAGTTGATGTGCGCTAATCCCACTACTTAAATGAAACCTCTCTATAGAGACACACTGCATCAGGTAAGATTGATATTAGACAACATTCCCTCTACACTGTTTAACAGAGCGATATAATGGTCCAGAGCACATTGAGAAGGTTTAGCTAAGAGTTCAACATTCTTTCCAGGTTAAGTTTAGATTGAAATTCCAATATTCTAAATGAACCGCATTACCTGTCTCTTATTAATAGAGACACACTGCATCAGGTAAGATTGATATTAGACAACATTACCTCTACACTGTTTAACAGAGCGATATAATGGTCCAGAGCACATTGAGAAGGTTTAGCTAAGAGTTCAACATTCTTTCCAGGTTAAGTTTAGATTGAAATTCCAATATTCTAAATGAACCGCATTACCTGTCTCTTGGAAACGGTTCAGGCCTGATGCAATCTGATCAATATCTTAAAACAGGCGCAGGAATAGCATTGGCTTCTATGTGTCAAACTTTCCATAAGCAGTGATGTCCACTGTCCAGGCCTGCACAGCACTGAGGAGCAGATAGAGGATAGACATGTGAAACCACTCCTCTTAACAGTGGCAGTCACCCAAGAGAGTCAGGACAGCTACAGTAGCTAAATACACTCCCCTGACATCATTAAAGCAGACTTAGCAACAAGAGAGATCAGTACTTTACTAACTAAAATAAATAACATAGCGGTGGTGGAAAGGGTTAGACTAATGACACTCCAACAGCTTCCATTTAACACATCTGATTCTGGCCCACTGAATTACAGTTCACAACCCCAATCTACTGTATCACAGATTACTTTACTAGTAAGTAGAGGCGCCTAAATCCGTTCAATTCACACTAAGCAAAAGCACAGCCCAGGTCATATTTTAATGTGTCTGGCTGTGTTTTTCATACTCCAACATCAATTTTAAGATTCTTCTTTGCCTTTTATTATGTAGCACAGTTACAGTATATCTTAAATACAGTAATATAAAGTCACAGCATCCTTAACGGGAAAGGCTTCCTTTTATGGTGGCCTATATTTATTTAGCCCTAACAACCACCAGTCTGCCCTGGATGCTGGGCTGGGCTCTGGAATGTATAGGGGGTCCCAGGGCAGGGCTGCTCCCTGAGCTGTGTGCCTGCCTGGCCCTCTCATGTAATGGAGACTAGGAAGAAGCCATCCTAAGGGACAGGCTGCCTCTGGTACCAATCAGTGGAGCGGTGAAGCCTCCCATTGATGTCCTGTTAGTGTAAGAGTAGACTTCAAACCCCAGCTCTATGGGTCTCCAAAAGGGGCCTTGGTGGACTGAACAGGCAAGCCAGGAAAAAGGTTTCATAATGGCCAATCTAAGACAGCCAGAGCCAGCCATGCTCTCACAAACACAGCCTACACCACCAGCCTGGGGCCTGTTTAGAGACATTATAGCACACCAGCTTGGCCCCTTGGTGAAATCTAACCTGGCTCGGAAATGAGATTTCCACTGTTTGATAATAGTGGGAGGTTTAGTGAAACCCACTCAATGATATCACAAGCATAGAATAGGTGGTGCCAGATCTTGTTGGAATCAGCATGTCGTTTCTCTCAGCCTGTTCATACAACACCCATGGAAAACACACTATTACCAGGGTGACAATACCTGACCAAACAACATCCTTTCACTAGAGACATGCTAAACCCAAGATATGAGTATTAGTTGAAATAATACAAAGGAATCTGTTTAGGCTTTATAACATTTACATTTACATTTACGTCATTTAGCAGACGCTCTTATCCAGAGCGACTTACAGTTAGTGAATACCTATATATATATATATATTTTTTTATACTGGCCCCCCGTGGGAATCGAACCCACAACCCTGGCGTTGAAAACACCATGCTCTATCAACTGAGCTACATCCCTGCCGGCCATTCCCTCCCCTACCCTGGACAACGCTGGGCCAATTGTGCGACGCCCATGAGTCTCCCGGTCGCGGCCGGCTGCGACAGAGCCTGGATTCGAACCAGGATCTCTAGTGGCACAGTTAGCACTGCGATGCAGTGCCTTAGACCACTGCGCCACATTCCTCCATTTATTGAAACTGTATACTGTGCAATTAGAGATCATTTGAACAAGATAGCTGACCTCAGGTTGGTGTGTCACTGTATTTGTGAAATAATTCAGTATTTATACCAAACCATTGATCTCCCTTTCTCTCTCCCCATCCCTCCCTGTCTCTCATATCCCTTTGCCTCCTAAGCCTAAGGTGTGTGTGAGTGAGAGCCCTTCCCAGACTGATGGAGCTCCCTGCAGTGGTGCTGCTGTTCCTGGTGTATGGTCTGGTGTCTGGAGCCCAGCAGCCCCAGGGCCAGGGGAACCCCCAGGAGAGCAACCCCCAGGCCAGGAGCCAGGACAGGGCCCCGTCCCAGGAGTTTGAAAGAAGTAAGGATGGCCTGGAGAGAGAATTCCTGTATTCTGGACGGAGGAGCAGACGGGCCCCCGCTGACTCCCAGCAGACTGACGAGTGTTCATACACCTTCATCGTTCCCCAGCAGAAGGTGACAGGGGCCATCTGTGTGAACCGCAAGGAGCCGGACGCAGTGCTGGAGAACCGCGTCAACAAGCAGGAGCTGGAGCTACTGAACGGGGAGCTGCAGAAGCAGAAGAGGCAGATCGAGACGCTGCAGCTGCTAGTGGAGGTGGACGGAGGCATCGTCAACGAGGTCAAGCTGCTGAGGAAGGAGAGCAGGAACATGAACTCCAGGGTGACTCAGCTCTACATGCAGCTGCTGCATGAGATCATCAGGAAGAGGGACAATGCCCTGGAGCTGTCCCAGATGGAGAACCGCATCCTCAACCAGACATCGGAGATGCAGCAGCTCACTAACCGCTACAAGGACCTGGAGCACAAGTACCAGCACCTGGCCTCTCTGGCCAACAACCAGTCGGTTCTCATCACCCTGCTGGAGGAGCAGTGCCAGGGTCGGCCTGTCAACCCCACTCGCCCAGTCCCCGTACCCCAGCCCAGGCCTCAGCCCCCACCCGCATCATCACCACCCATCAACAAGCCCTACCAACCTCCCACCTACCCACGCCTCACCAACGAGATTCAGAGTGACCAGAAGTCTGTGCTGCCTGTCCTTCCTACCATGCCCAGTGGCACAGGCAGCCCCTCTACTACCAACAAACCCTCTGGTGAGTCTCTCTGTTTCATTGAGCAGGCTGCATGTTTATACTTACCCATTGAAATGAATATTCCTTGATACAGATCTGGTCTGAAATTACATTTACAGTGAGCTCGGACGCAGCGCTTTACCATTCAGTAACTTTTATTGTAAATAAGAATAGAATATGTTTCTAAACACTTCTACATTAATCTGTATGCTACCATGATTACGGATAATCCTGAATGAATTGTGAATAATGATGAGTGAGACGCACAAATATCAATATTTGTGCATCTGTAACTTTCTCACTCATCATTATTCACGATTCATTCAGGATTATCCGTAATCATGGTAGCATACAGATTAATGTAGAAGTGTTAAGAAACATATTATATTCTTATTTACAATAAAAGTGCCTCCAAACTGACAATACATTGTTTACCATTCATTTCTATCGGGCACAAAATAATCGGAAACACAACCAAAACAAACAACAAATGTAGAGAGTCACAAGCTTGTTGTAGTCATTGTGTGCTATGAAAATGGGACGAAATACTTAACTTTTTACTACTTAATACATATATAAGTGAATTACTTTTGGAGCACACTGTATATGAGGAATCAAGCAGAAAAAGAGAAGCTGGCATGTTCTATGAACCCTCATCAGACTAATGTCTAAGCCAGTCTGAAACAGAGGGTTGTGTGTGAGACCAGTTTGGTCTTTCTTATTCATTTATCACCAGACAACAGCAGCTATCCATTCTTTATCCATTCTTCTCACTATTGTCTATGGGAATAATAAGTCCCAAACATTCCCTGAGAAAAGTCCTCTAGCGGAGAACAGAGCTGATGTTGTTTAAAAGCCATTTGAATGCATATCATCTAATGGGCTTTATACTACAGTCAGCTGATGACAATCCACAAAGCATCTTAAAACACATATTTTGTGTGCTCATGGATGGTTGGACTGGAGCCCTCTGGTATTGAGGCCACTGAAAGTGGAGCTGTCTGAAACTATCCTCATTGATTTAGTAAATTTAGAAGCTTAAGTTACTGGATGATTAATTGATAACTTAGTGAACTGTATAGTTGACAGAATACATCAGAGATGTGGATGAGACTGACTGTCATGTTCTTTAATTGTGTGTGTGGCGAGTTAACTTTGGTCTTAAGCTGATAATTGAAGTACAATCATCAGAAAGGTCTTCTAACAAAATATGCCTAATACCTACAGTATATCGTTTTCTTGTGATTTCTCCTCTTGTTCAGGTTTCATCCCTTTCACAAACCTTGCTGTATTTATTATCCTGCTCGTATTTAACTGTTAACAGTGATGTGTTAGTTTGTATGCCTGTGCCAGTGACTATTGCTGTTGGATGGGAGTGTTGAGCCACAGGCAGACGTGTCTCAGCGGAGACAGACACCAGATGAGGGGGAGTTTAGAGACATGCTCTGTGTGGTCTCAACTCACCATGGGCTACAAGCCCACTGCCGAGGGGACAAAGCCAGCTTACACTAAATTGCATGGTCAATCTAACCCTGACAATGGTAGCATGGTAAGTATAGTGTTCCTGTTATGAGAGGAAACCCCGCCACAGGCTAGCAGCAGTAATTGGCCAGATGATGTATAGGACTCAAGGGAGAGCTCTCAATCATCTCAAAGTGATTTGATTAGTATTTTCTTGTTAACAGATTCTTCCATTAGATACCATGTCATTTGAATGTAGTAGGACACACTGGCTTATTCTATACAGTATCAGACCATTGTAAGCTCTTTCCCTAGACACTGTGTCACAGTGTGCTTTTCTGACTGATGTGTACAGTCGTGGTCAAAAGTTTTGAGAATGACACAAGTATTGGTCTTCACAAAGTTCGCTGCTTCAGTATTTTTGTCAGATGTTACTATGGTATACTGAAGTATAATTACAAGCATTCCATAAGTGTCAAAGGCTTTTATTGACAATTACATAAAGTTTATGCAAAGAGTCAATATTTGCAGTGTTGACCCTTCTTTTTCAAGACCTCTGCAATCCGCCCTGGCATGCTGTCAATTAACTCCTGGGCCACATCCTGACTGATGGCAGCCCATTCTTGCAAAATCAATGCTTGGAGTTTGTCAGAATTTGTGGGGTTTTGTTTGTCCACCCGCCTCTTGAGGATCGACCACAAGTTCTCAATGGGATTAAGGTCTGGGGAGTTTCCTGGCCATGGACTCAAAATGTCGATGTTTTGTTCACCGAGCCACTTAGTTATCACTTTTGCCTTATGGCAAGGTGCTCCATCATGCTGGAAAAGGCATTGGTCATCACCAAACTGTTCTTGGATGGTTGGGAGAAGTTGCTCTCTGAGGATGTGTTGGTACCATTCTTTATTCATGGCTGTGTTCTTAGGCAAAATTGTGAGTGAGCCCACTCCCTTGGCTGAGAAGCAACCCCACACATGAATGGTCTCAGGATGCTTTACTGTTGGCATGACATAGGACTGATGGTAGCGCTCACCTTGTCTTCTCCGGACAAGGTGTTTTCCGGATGCCCCAAACATTCGGAAAGGGGATCCATCAGAGAAAATGACTTTACCCCACTCCTCAGCAGTCCAATCCCTGTACCTTTTGCAGAATATCAGTCTGTCCCTGATGTTTTTCCTGGAGAGAAGTGGCTTCTTTGCTGCCCTTCTTGACACCAGGCCATCCTCCAAATGTCTTCGCCTCACTGTGCGTGCAGATGCACTCACACCTGCCTGCTGCCATTCCTGAGCAAGCTCTGCACTGGTGGTGCCCCGATCCCGCAACTGAATCAACTTTAGGAGACGGTCCTGGCGCTTGCTGGACTTTATTGGGCGCCCTGACGCCTTCTTCACAACAATTGAACCTCTCTCCTTGAAGTTCTTGATGATCCGATAAATGGTTGATTTAGGTGCAATCTTACTAGCAGCAATATCATTGCCTGTGAAGCCCTTTTTGTGCACAGCAATGATGACGGCACGTGATTCCTTGCAGGTAACCATGGTTAACAGAGGAAGAACAATGATTTCAAGCACCACCCTCCTTTTAAAGCTTCCAGTCTGTTATTCTAACTCAATCAGCATGACAGAGTGATCTCCAGCCTTGTCCTCGTCAACACTCTCACCTGTGTTAACGAGAGAATCACTGACATGATGTCAGCTGGTCCTTTTGTGGCAGGGCTGAAATGCAGTGGAAAAGTTTTTTTGGGATTAAGTTCATTTTCATGGCAAAGAGGGACTTTGCAATTCATTGCAATTCATCTGATCACTCTTCATGACATTCTGGAGTATATGCAAATTGCCATCATCAAAACTGAGGCAGCAGACTTTGTGAAAATTAGTATTTGTGTCATTCTCAAAACTTTTGACCACGACTGTAGACACTGTGCTCTGTACTCTGCTAAATAGTTCACCAAATAGCTACCCGGACTATCTGCATTGACCCTTTTGCACGAACTATTTTTGACTCTATGCAAACACACTGGACTCTACACAGACTCACACATACTTACACTGACACTCCAACACATACACACTCACTCACTCACACATAACATGTACACACAGGCACACATTCACCACACACATCCTTCCACATTTCCACACTCATCACATACGCTGCTGCTACTGTTTATTATCTATCCTGATGCCTAGTCACTTTATCCCTACCTATATGTACATGCATTGGGGCAGGTAGCGTTCTCCTGGCATCCGCCAAACCCAGATTCGTCCGTCAGACTGCCAGATGGTGAAACGTGTTTCCACTGCTCCAGAGTCCAAAAGCGGCGAGATTTACACCACTTCAGCCAACGCTTTGCATTGCGCATGGTGATCTTAGGTTTCTATGCGGCTGCTTGGCCATGGAAACCCATTTTATGAAGCTCCCAACAAAAAGTTATCGTGCTGACGTTGCTTCCAGAGGCAGTTTGGAACTCGGTAATGAGTGTTGCAACCGAGGACAGACGATTTTTACGCTATAACAGCTTCAGCTCTCTGCGGTTCCGTTCTGTGAGCTTATGTGGCCTAGCACTTCGCGGGCTGAGCCATTGTTGCTCCTAGACATTTCCACTTCACAATAACAGCACTTATAGATCGCCAGGGCAGCTCTAGCAGGGCAGAAATGTGATGAACTGACTTATTGGAAAGGTGGCATCCTATGACGGTGCCGCGTTGAAAGTCACTGAGCACTTCAGTAAGGCCATTCTACAGCCAATGTTTAACTTTGGAGATTACCAGGACAAGTACTCCGAGCATGCGCTGACCAACTGGCAAGTGTCTTCACTGACATTTTCAACATGTCCCTGACAGAGTCTGTAATACCAACATGTTTCAAGCAGACGACCATAGTCCCTGTGCCCAAGAACACTAAGATAACCTACCTAAATGACTACCGACCCATAGCACTCACGTCTGTAGCCATGAAGTGCTTTGAAAGGCTGGTCAGGGCTCACATCAACACCATTATCCCAGAAACCCTAGACCCACTCCAATTTGCATACTGCCCCAACAGATCCACAGATGATGCAATCTCTATTGCACTCCACACTGCCCTTTCCCACCTGGACAAGAATGCTACGTGAGAATGCTATTCATTGACTACAGCTCAGTGTTCAACACCATAGTGCCCTCAAAGCTCATCACTAAGCTAAGGACCCTGGGACTAAACACCTCCTTCTGCAACTGGATCCTGGACTTCCTGACGCCCCCCCCCCCCCCCCCCCCCCACACCTCTCTTTTATGCTGCTGCTACTCTGTTCCCCTCCTGTACTCCCTGTTTACCCATGACAGCATGGCCAGGCACGACTCCAACACCATCATTCAGTTTGCCGACGACACAACAGTGGTAGGCCTGATCACCGACAATGATGAGACAGCCTATAGGGAGAAGGTCAGAGACCTGGCCGTGTGGTGCCAGGATAACAACCTCTCCCTCAACGTGATCAAGACAAAGTAGATGATTGTGGACTACAGGGAAAAAAAGAGGACTGAGCACGCCCCCATTCTCATCGACGGGGCTGTAGTGGAACAGGTTGAGAGCTTCAAGTTGCTTGGTGTCCACATCACCAACAAACTATCATGGTCCAAACACACCAAGATAGTCGTGGAGAGGGCACGACAAAGCCTATTCCCCCTCAGGAGACTGAAAAGATTTGGCATGGGTCCTCAGATCCTCAAAAAATTCTACAGCTGCACCATCGAGAGCATCCTGACTGGTTGCATCACCGCCTGGTATGGCAACTGCTCAGCCTCTGACCGCAAGGCACTACAGAGGGTAGTGCGTACGGCCCAGTACATCACGGGGGCCAAGCTTCCTGCCATCCAGGACCTCTATACCAGGCGGTGTCAGAGGAAGGCCCTAAAAATTATCAAAGACTCCAGCCACCCTAGTCATAGACTGTTCTCTCTGCTACCGCACGGCAAGCAGTACCGGAGCGCCAAATCTAGGTCCAAAAGGCTTCTTAACAGCTTCTACCCCCAAGCCATAAGACTCCTGAACAGCTAATCATGGCTACCCAGACTATTTGCATTGCCTCCCCACCCCACCCCACCCCAACTCCTCTCTTTTACGCTGCTGCTACTCTGTTTATTATTATTTATGCATAGTCAGTTTAACTCTACCCACATGTACATATTACCTCAATTACCTCGACTAACCGGTGCCCCCGCACATTGACTCTGTACCGGAACCCCCTGTATATAACCTCCCTACTGTTATTTTATTTTACTGCTGCTCTTTAATTATTTGCTTTCTTTTCTTTCTTAAACTGCATTGTTGGTTAAGGGCTTGTCAGTAAGCATTTCACTGTTAGTCTACACCTGTTGTTTACGAAGCATGTGAGAATTAAAATGTTATTTTATTTGATTGATTTGAAGGGAGGCAAGCAATTTCCTGCCAGGGCCAACTGCAACTCATACACCAAAGTTTATACAAACTCACCACACAGAAAGAGAGTTCTGTACAATGCAGAAAGGGAGGGAGAGAGAGAGGTGTGGTGGAGGGGGAGCGAGAGAGAGAGTGTAAGGAAGGGGGGGTATGAAAAGACAGAGGAAATGTGTGATGTAATTTATTCCAGCCCCACCAGGCTTGTATCAATCAAACGTTCTGCCACAGTGGCAGGCTTTATCAGTAGGGCAGTCCTCTGGCTTATGTCTGATTACTTCTTACATGCCATCTTAGCACAACCTAATACTTATCCCTATTTTATAGAAGTGACTAGCCATTTTATCCTATCAGTTTACAATGTGAACCTTTGTTCATATGTCTCTATATGTGTGACACTGTGCGACACCTTGTGGTTGACAGTCCTGCTTGGAATTAGCTTCTTGTTTCCCTCCTTTTTATACTGATACAGTCAGGCTGTCAGTGTGGTCGCTTTATGAAAGCCTGACATCTCCCTGACTCACATACGGTCTTTTCCTCATTTTGCTCTCTCCCTACCCTGGCTGGATGTAGACCAGCTGCTTCTGCCTCTGTGTGGATGCCTCTCTTCCTCCTGTTTCTGTACAAATGTCCATCGTGTTCTAAACAGGGTCATTTGGCGAATCACATCAGTGTAAACTCTTGAATAGGTTAACACTTTCACATCCAATTAAAAAAGTGGAGCCAGAAGCCCAATAGAAGACTGTTTACATGTATGCTGACTAGAGATCTTCTGAGGGGGAGAGTAACTAACAGGCAATACGCCAATTCATGTTTTTACAAATGTGAACCAGAACACCAAGACAAATGAATAAACCAAACACAAGCAGCATTTAACATAAACTTCATTCCTAGTTAAATTATATACTGCAGAGAAATATAAAACATATCCTGCTCAGTCGTTGGTTTCTGTCAGGGCGTCCATCTTAGCATTTGGGTCTGTTATACACTGAGTATACAAAACATTAAGAACACTTGCTCTTTCCATGACATAGACTGACCTGGTGAAACCTATCATTCCTTATTGATGTCACTTGTTAAATCCACTTCAATCAGTGTAGATGAAGGGGAGGAAACAGGTTAAAGAAGGATTTTTATGCCTTGAGACAATAGAAACATGGATTGTGTATGTGTGCCATTCAGAGGGTAAATGGGCAAGACAAAACATTTAAGTGCCTTTGAACGGGGTATGGTAGTAGGCACACTGGTTTGTGTCAAGAACTGCAATGCTGCTGGGGGGTTGTCTAACCCATAGATAGACAACCACAATAGTCCGTTTTCACATTTGTCTTCAAAACATGACCACTATAAAATACCTCACCACAGTATTTCTGTAAAATGACCAACTGCCAAGATGGGAATTATGTCAGATAAATGAAATGTGAAGTTTACGGGTGAACATTTTGGAATTTGGGATAAATTCCAGAGGTCTCCCTGGCAGAAAAGTACTGAGGTAAGATAGGGTTTTATTCAGGATGATCTTAAATGAGTCCAATTCTAGAAATCCTTTCTCTTTAGTATAACAAACAAAGATAAGCAACCAGATTATTATTTTGTAGGCCTGTTGAGGTAATGTTTTTCAGAAAGTGTCATTGTTGAGCTGCAAAACACACTCAGTCTGATGCAGAAACAGCAACCACCACCATCAGACCTTTATTCTCAGCCCCCTACTTACACTCAACATCCTCCTCCACCCAAACACCTTTATTTAATCACTCCCACCCTCACCCTCCCACCCCCACCAGTAGACATTTGTACTTCTCTGAGTGAGAAAAGGGGCTGGCATCTAGCATATAGACAGCTGTATGGCACATTGTGAGGTTGTGAGTGGCATTTAGTGCCATGCTGTGTGTCCTGGTGAGAGGCTCATTTCAAAGCCACACCACCCATGTAAACACACAGGCCTTTCAGATGAAGGATACCACTGTCTCAGCAGAGTTTCCATGGCTGATATCTGAGATTCCATTACCAGAGAATGGCCAAGCTAGAGCCCACTGCCAAGAGCACATGCTATATGAAAACACTATCGTTCAGATAGAATGTCTCCGATCTGCATAATAGCACAACAGCTCTCTGGATGAGTATAGTACAGGATGAGGTTTTACCTCCACCGGGGTAGGTCAAAAACACCCATTGACAATAACTACATGGGAAACATGCATACTAAATGCATGAAATCATGGAGTGGCACCTACAGAGAGTACTGTTTATCGTTTGGCTCATTTTGCTCAGAGCTTTACTATGATAGCTGTTGCATCCTAAATGGGTTTAGGAAGACATCAAGTATTAACATACTTTTTAACTCTATTTCAATGAAAAGTATTTTCTTAAAGCCCAATGCCCATGATGTCATTCATCACCAAGGGATCTTTAGAGTACCTGCTGATCCATCTGCTACTGTTGCATCATTCAGCAATCAGGTCTCCCTTTAGCCATATGCCAATGTTACTCTTGGCTGCACAGCCTGCAGCCACTTCTCTTGTGAGAGCAGCAGCCAAAGTCAACGCTGGCCTTAAGCTGAGAGCTTTTCCTACTGAAGGATGGTAGTAGCAGCATTACAGATGTAGGATCTTCATTTGAGACAGTTTGCTACAGCAGGAAAATAATCCTTCAGTAAAAGGAAATGTTAATTATTATGTAGATTATAATTAATGGACATTTTTGTAGATATTGATAAATTTTTCGTAAGGGGAAATCAAGTCAAATTTCAAAATGGAAATTACAAACTTTAGAAGCCCTTTTAAACCTCAAATACACTGCAAGTTTTTCATTTCCTGCATTGCAGGAAGGTTCTCCTGCAACAGGGTGATCAAATTATGATCCTACATCTGTAACAGTAGATCATGCTGTGGTCAATTAGGCTACATAGCCTCTGTCTCTAATACTGTTATAGTCACACAATAATAAAGTTTTATTCATTATGAATATATGAAGACTAAAGAAGCAAGTGACTCATATTATAGAAAAATATGTCATTTGACAACCTCCATTGACTCCACCTTGGTTTCTGTCTGACCACTGTGTCTATCTCCTGTCCTGTCCCATACAGGGCCATGGAAGGACTGCCTGCAGGCCCTGGAGGATGGCCACACAGCTAGTGGCATGTACCTGGTGAAGCCAGAGAACGCCAACAGACTGATGCAGGTGTGGTGTGACCAGAGACATGACCCTGGTGGCTGGACTGTCATCCAGAGGAGGCTGGACGGATCAGTCAACTTCTTCAGGAACTGGGAGACTTACAAGGTAGGTAAGCAGCCCCACACTACGGCAAACTCATTTAGTAAAGGGGGAGGCAGGTTCAATGTAGACTTGTGTCTGTATGCTGAGCCATGGCTGAGTGAAACAGGTGACATGTCTGGTGTGTCTGACGTTAAACAGATCTGAAATGTAATTGTTGAGGTTTGAGGAGAATGGTCACTTGCACTGCCTGCTCTGCTGTGGTACCTACAGGGTTCTGCACCTATCAGTCACAACACTGGCCTATGACTCATAACACCCGCCAACATGAGTTGGGTCTTTGTGAAATTTGTCCACATAGGACGCATACAAACTTAATGACAAACATGTGTAGACAAGAGGCTGCCATACTGGAAATAAATGCCATGATATAAAAACAGCCCACTGTAAAATGATTCATGGTCCATGAAAATTATTTATATTTACATCATGGAAATGGTTTATGATGAGGAAAAAGACATGGATGAATTCAGGCATTTACACAACTTTACACAGGCATTCATGAGGACAGCATGAAATACTAATTGATGACTATTGCCAGTGGGGAATTCGTTTTTCCTGAGTCAGTGAAAGTATCTAAAGCACTAGAAAAGGGCGAAGCAATTCAAGGGCAAACATCAGAGGGCAGACAATTTGCAATGGTCTTGTTTAAATCTTTGCCAGATAACTTTCCAAGACCTTACAATACACCTTAAAACACATGGGAATTAAATGTGTACAATAGCCAGATCATCCCATGAATCAAAGCATCTACAGTGTAATGTAAGCCATATTATATCCTTTGACCTAAGCTGGCACAGAGCTGAGGCAGAACAGTCCAGACCAGCACAAATCTTGTAACAAGCTCACAGATCTCCCACTCTTCTACACAGGCCATCAATACATTTTTGATAACTGAAAGATAGTGAAGATCTAACCTCCCGAATACCGGGCTGGCTATGGTGTAGTTGGCTCATGGGCCGTTTGCTGTTATCTTTTCTGACAATAAACAACACTCTAAGACAGATTCATATGGAGCTTAACTGTCAGGGCATTCTAGAAGGACTGTTCCTCTCAGTACTTCCAGGGCATTGAGTAGAGTAGAGCCTATGAATTATCCCCCAGACCTCCAGACCAACTGCTTACAGATGAAGGGACTTCTGTAAAGTCCATCATGTTGACTGTGTTGTATGTATTCTCTCTTTGCCCCTCATAGCAAGGCTTTGGGAACATAGATGGAGAGTATTGGCTGGGCCTGGAGAACATCTACTGGCTGACCAACCAGGGGAACTACAAGCTGCTGGTGACGCTGGAGGACTGGTCTGGCAGGAAGGTGTTTGCAGAGTACGCCAGCTTCAGGCTGGAGCCTGAGGCAGACTTCTACAAACTCAGGGTGGGCCGCTACCATGGCAACGCCGGAGACTCCCTCACCTGGCACAACGGCAAACAGTTCACTACGCTGGACAGAGACCATGATGTGTTTACAGGTAATGTCAAGATCATACAGCTGCATACACTCTCAATATAAAACAGAAATGTGAGATAAAAGCTTCAGTGTTCTGACAATTAGCCAAGTTAACTGACAATTAACCTAGTGCTTAGATTTTGTTTGAGAATGCTACAATGTTGTCTAACTAATATTTGCTTCAACCCAGGTAACTGTGCCCACTACCAGAAGGGAGGCTGGTGGTACAATGCATGTGCCCATTCTAACCTCAATGGAGTATGGTACAGAGGTGGACACTACCGCAGTCGCTACCAAGATGGAGTCTACTGGGCTGAATTCAGAGGAGGGGCCTACTCCCTGAAGAAAGTATCTATGATGATAAGACCGAACCCAAACACCTTTCATTAAGTATCCATGGCAAAACAACTTCCTTTCCATGAAAACTTAAATTCAAACAGCTCTTGAACTCTGATACAATGGCACCTCACACAGCCAGATCAAGAAGACGATGACATAGAAAGTGCAATATCTAAGCCTTGGAGAAGCAATCAAGGAGAAGCAGGGTGCGTCATGTTGCTTCAAAGTCCCTTAGCAAACTGTTTGGCCAGATACAATGCTATTTCACGGCTAGCTCTTAAATGTACACGGAGAGCTAACATTAATAATATGCATGTCAATCTCTCCTGGCTCAAAGTAGAGGAGATTGACTTCATCACTACTTGTATTTGGGAGAAGTATTTACATGTTGAATGCACCGACACCCATGCATACCCCACAAGACATGCCACCAGAGTTCTCTTCACAGTCCCCAAGTCTAGAACAGACTATAGGAGGCACACAGTACTACATAAAACTCTATTCCACATCAAGTAACTCATGCAAGCAGTAAAATCTCATTGAAAAAACCCCAGATAAAAACACACCTTATGGAACAGCGGGGACTGTGAAGAGACACACACACAGGCACACGCATGCACACACACATGATAACATACGCACTATACACACACATACACATGGATTTTGTGTTGTAGATATGTGGTAGTAGAGTAGTGGCCTGAAGACACACACTTAATGTGTTGTGAAATCTGTTGTGAAATGTAATGTAATGTTTTTAATTGTATATATCTGCCTTAATTTTGCTGGACACCAGGAAGAGTAGCTGCTGCCTTAGCAGCAGCTAATGGGGATCCATAATAAATGCAAATACAAATGTTGCTCCACAGACAAAGACATGCACCAGCACAGCTGTATGCTTGATTCTCTCCCTTTAAATGTTATTCAAATGTGTATGTTTACTTTACACTGAGTAAGATGTACTGCTGCCTTAGAACTGATGGAACAGTGTTATTCATGTGGGATAAAACTAAGTTAAAAACAAAAAGAGGAGAGTATGTCAGTTCACAGTACTTACACTAAGTAGCTTGGGATAGCAATCTTATATTGTAGTCTGTATGTGTTATAATGCAATATATATTTTTATGAGAATGAAGATGACACAGGACATTATATCCAGTGACTAGCCTTAATTTGTTTAAAGCAAGCTCTTCAGGTGAGTAATTTAAAGGAAACAATAATCACATTTCTTAAACCTTGGTACAGGTACTCTTATTATGTAGGCCTGCAATTCATTAGCCATTAGCCATCATCTTTGTCAAGATATACAATCTAATGTCTACCACTGATGTAAAAGGAGGCACAGATACAATGGTCTGGTACTGTCAACAGTCAACACCTGATATCTGTCTTACAAACTCACAGTAAACGATGATGTATACCATTCAACTATGCATAATGCTTGTGTGGCACAGTGCAAGGTACAGGGTGCAATAAAACCCAAGTACAATGACAACTGACTTGATCATAAGTCCAGATGGTAGAGTGATATTTTATAAAATATAATGGTTACATGCAGCTGTATTGCTTTATAACATGAAACCTCAATTTTATGTCCAGGTATTCATTTGCTTGCAACCAAGGAACAATGTATGTACTGTTTAATTAAATGTATTGTTGGTGTAAAATGACTCAACACATTTTGTCTGTACATAAAATATATGTGTAATATAATGTAACAAAGCTAATGTATCACTATACAGTTGCAATAAATGATGTGCAGCTTCTTTGCTTTTCTTTTTGAGTTCTTGCTTTATGTACAGACACAACTGTACATTCTGTTGTATGATGTTGTATATGTTCATGTGTCTCGGATATTGTATTACAGGCCATACACATACATACAGAGAGAGAGAGAGAGAGAGAGAGAGAGAGAGAGAGAGAGAGAGAGAAGAGAGAGAGAGAGAAGAGAGAGAGAGAGATGATGAGACTAGATAGAGACAGATAGATCCCTATTTACTAGTAGTAGAGTCTACGACGTAATATAGCAGCTAGAGAGTAAGAGAGAGAATAATGAGATGAATGTCATTGATGCCGAGCCTACAGGGCAAGGCTCCACATGTACCATGGAGATTATGCTAATTACAGGCATCCCGCTCTCCTCTCCTGTGGACAATATTGCCACGTGTGACAGAGTGAGACAGAACCACTGTCTCTGTCTCTGATGTAGCATTCATCAACCACAGGGCCAGTGGAACATGGGATGACAAATGAAACCTGACAGCCTGTAAAATGCCCGGCATGCTACAGTCCCTTACCCTCAGAGCAGACAGCGCTTTTATTTGACTGCACCAGGGATTTCCAAATCAGGGTGGAAAATGACCTGATAGAGACGAGAGAGTAGAGAGAGAGAGAAGAGAGAGTAGAGAAGATAGAAGACGAAGCTAAGATCGACGCAGCTTAATAGAGACAGAGATAGAGAGAGAGAGAGGAGAGAGAGAGAGAGAGAGAAGAGAGAGAGAGAGAGAGAGAGAGAGAGAGGAGACAAACACGTTCATGGGCTAATGGCATACTGTTAAGCACGCCATTTGAAAATGCAGTCTGAAAATATTTCCCTTTAGGAGAGATATGACAGGACATTCATGCATTAAGAAACTATAACGGTATATCAAAACTTAGTAGATGGATATCGCCCGTCTCTAAAGAAAGGAAAAGCATGTTTACACTGCAATTAATGGAGTTTCATCCAATGTTTTTCATCTGAACATCCTTTTGCAACCATCCAATGAAATGTATGAAAAATAACCAGCCCACTGGGCAAAAACCGATTGAATGGTTGTTTCCATGTAATTTCAACACCCAAAATCTATGTGATGACGTTGAATCAATGTGGAAAACTAATTGGATTTGCAAAAAGTCATCAACGTAATGGCATTTCGTCTTTTTTTCACTCACATTTCTACCTAAATCCAATGACAGTGCTTTTTTTTTGTGAATTCACGTTAGTTGTCAACTCAACCAAAAGTAAATCAAAACTAGACGTTCAACTGACATCTGTGCCCAGTGGGATCTGTTAACCAATGAGATGTGTCCAAGCGAATAATAAACTGAGCAAAATAAAAGCTTGTTGAGCGTGTTTATTCATAACAGCTCTTAAGAATCAAATCATCTAAAAGACTTTAGGACTGCCCGCTAGCATGGCTGTGCTTTTCTCCTGACAAGAAGACAGACCATGAAAAAAGAAAAGGATTCAGGAGAGTCACTGAACTGACTCACAAATCAGCAGCTTTGTTGCCTTATTCCCAGAGAAAAATAGGCTTTGGATGAGAATGAGATGAAGGAAGGCCTCCATCTCCAGTACTGTCACTGCTGTCAGCTGTGTGTTCACAGGAAATTAATGGGACAGTAAACCACTTCCCGTAGGGGGCTTCAGGGCCGGCCGTAGCCTTTAGGGGGCCCTAAGTGAGATTTAGTAGCCCCCCTCTTAAAGGCGGAGAGAAAAATGTAAAGGGCCAGTGAAGTAAAAAACGCATATTTCCACAATATGAGGTTGGAATATTACTGTGAAATTGTGAAAATTATGATAATGCCCTTTTAGTGTAAGAGCTGTTTGAACAGACCGCCTGAAATTTCAGCCTGTTTAGGCAGGATGGAGTTTTGGCCTGCCTGGTGACATCCCTGATCCAAGATGGCGTAGCAGTGCGGTTGTGTTCTTTGTTGTGTGTCCGTGTAAATAGCCTGTTTTTTATATTACCAGTTGTTGTCTTAGCTCTCTCTAATAACACCTGTGATTGCTTTATGCCTCTCTCCCATGTCAATATGCCTTGCCTATTGCTGTTCCAGTTAGTTCTTATTATACAATTTCAATATAGAACCCCAAGTCATTCTCAAACTGCCTCAAATAGCTCCTTTGTTCCACCCCCCATACACGCCGAGACCGGCTAAATCGGTGCCTCCAGTGATGCTATCTCTTTCATTGTTACCCAACGCTTAGGTTTACCTCCACTGTACTCATATCCTTCCATATCCTTGTCTGTACATAATGCCCTGAATCTATTCTACAACGCCCGGAAATCGGCCCCCTTTATTCTCTGTACCCAACGCACTAGAATACCAGTTCTTAAAGCCTTTAGCCGTTTCCTTATTCTAGTCCTCCTCTGTTCCTCTGGTGATGTAGAGGCTAACCCAGGCCCTGCAGCCCCCAGTATCACTCCTACTCCCCGGGAGTTATCATTTGTTGACTTCTGTAACCGTAAAAGCCTTGGTTTTCTGCACGTTAACATCAGAAGCCTCCTTCCTAAGTTTGAGTTATTCACTGCGTTAGCACACTCCGCCAACCCTGATGTTCTAGCAGTGTCTGAATCCTGGCTTAGGAAGGCCACCAAAAATTCAGAGATTTCCATCTCCAACTACAACATTTTCCGTCTAGATAGAACTGCCAAAGGGGGTGGAGTTGCAATCTACTGTAGATATAGCCTGCAGAGCTCTATCATACTATCCAGGTCTGTACCCAAACAGTTTGAGCTCCTACTTCCTAAATCCACCTTTCCAGAAATAAGTCTCTCACTGTTGCCGCTTGCTACAGACCACCCTCAGCCCCTAGCTGTGCCCTGGACACCATATGTGAATTGATTGCCCCCCATCTATCCTCAGAGTTCGTACTGCTTGGTAACCTAAACTGGGATATGCTTAACACCCCGGCCATCCTACAATCCAAACTAGATGCCCTCAATCTCACACAAATTATCAAGGAACCTACCAGGTACAACCCTAAATCCGTAAACATGGGCACCCTCATAGATATCATCCTGACTAACTTACCCTCTAAATACACCTCCGCTGTCTTCAACCAGGATCTCAGCGATCACTGCCTTATTGCCTGCATCTGTAACGGGTCCGCGGTCAAACGACCACCCCTCATCACTGTCAAACGCTCCCTAAAACACTTTAGCGAGCAGGCCTTCCTAATTGACCTGGCCCAGGTATCCTGGATGGATATCGATCTCATTCTGTCAGTAGAGGATGCCTGGTTGTTCTTTAAAAGTGCTTTCCTCTCAATCTTAAATAAGCATGCCCCATTCAAAAAATTCAGAACTAAGAACAGATATAGCCCCTGGTTCTCCTCAGACTTGACTGCCCTTGACCAGCACAAAAACATCCTGTGGCGTACTGCATTAGCATCGAATAGCCCCCGCGATATGCAACTTTTCAGGGAAGTTAGGAACCAATATACACAAGCAGTTAGGAAAGCAAAGGCTAGCTTTTTCAAACAGAAATGTCCATCCTGTAGCACTAACTCCAAACGTCCATGGAGAATAAGAGCACCTCCTCCC